CATGCTGTACCCGATTTACCTGCTACACGGGTCCCTCCATCCTACCCCTCCCTCCATCTCTCTAAACCTGCATTTACCCATAAAGCCATCCCGGTGAAGAAGGGCCACCTCTACTCCCCAGCAAGGCGCCCTGTCTCGTTTCTCCTGCAGGAGAAAGATGTGGGCCTCCTGCACTTACTGCTTTCGGCCTCCTCAGGGGCAGAGGCTAGGGACGGGGGTAGGGCCGGAACCTGGGCCGGGGCAGGGGCTGGGGCTGGAGTCGAGGCCGGCGTCGGAGCCGAGTCCGGGGCCAGGGGCGAATCCGCGCGGAGCTGGGATCCGAGCCGAGTCCGAGTCCGGGACCTGGACCTGGGCCACCTCCACCGCCTCCTCCTCCAGGGATAGCAGTCCCTCCTCCGCCATATTCTCCATAGTTACCGCCTCCGTGCCCGGCCCGCCCGGGGACCGGGAGGGGGCTCACAGCGGAGTCAGAAAATTGAGGTGAATGCCCACAGGCCAGGATCCAAGGAAAGCAAATGGGGAGGGCAGGATGCGTGCAACGGACAAAAGAAGAACGAGTGACTAGATCCTGTCAGCAGACAAACAGAAAGCCAAAAGCAGCGATCCCAAGTCCCGTCCCCTGCCCTTTCCCCGCGGCGTCACGACATCACAGACTGCGCAGGCGCACACTGAGCCGCCGTCCAATGGGGTAAGAGTTCCGCCTCGGCGGCGCGTCTCCGTTCTTCAGCCCACCACCGACCGGAAGCAAGACTACAGGACCCAGGGTGCACTGCGCCGCCGGGGCGGAGCCGCCGCCCCACCCCTCGGAGGAAGTAAACACCGGTCTAAACAAACGCTCGTGGGTAGGCTGACGCGGAGCGCGGAACTACGTTTCCCATCGGGCCTCCGGGGTCCCCCCCGCCGCCGGCGCTGGTAAGGTGGAGGACTGGGGGTGCGTTGACTCTCTGGGCAGGTTCCCCTCGCGGCCGCTCCAAGTGCGGTATCCGGCGGCTGGCCGCGCTGAGAACTCGGGAGTCACGGGGCACCGCGACCCTGTGGGCGGGCTCGAGGTCCCGCCGTCTCCGCGCAGGGTGTGGTTCTGGCTCGGCCCTGCCCCCGGGGTTGCCCCCAGTTCTTTGGGCTAGTTGGGTTCCGGGCGCGCCTGCGGACCGCTGACGGGTTCGCCTGTAAGTCCCGACGACGTGGGGTGGGGGTTAGCCCTCCCTTGCACCCCTCACCTGCTCCGTGACCCGAATGCCCTTTTCCTTTGTTTTTATTTTTGCTTTCGCTGTCGTATTGCCAGTCTGAGCAGTGCTGTGATGTGGTTGTAAGCGTCCACACGCTGTTTTTGTCCCGTTTTGCTTGATTTTTAGGCTGTTAATAACCAGATGTCTGAAAGTGTTGAGCCTCCTGGTACTGGATAGATGAGTTTCAGATTCCCCCCAGGTGCATGCCAGGAAGTCCCCGGTCTCCAGAACTTTTCTTCCCTTCACCCTGGGCCTACTTTGGCACTCAGGCCTCATTCGTTCTGTCCCCCGCCCCCCAATGTCCCAGTAAGCCCACTGGAGCACTTAGAGGACAAATCTTGTTTTCTGGTTGTCCTGCCAAGGTCTCGTCTAAATGTCACAGGAAGCAGAAAAAGGAAGAAGCCCATTTTCATGTTAGGTGAAATACAGTTCCAGTTTGAGTGTCTTAGTTAATAAAGCTGAGAAATGCCTCTTACTGGTCTGTTTATTTCTTGTGTTTGAACCCAGCAGGGAA